CCCCCCGAACCCCTTCTCGTGGGGTCTCTTGTATAGATCCCCTGTATTAATGAGTTCGCACCCGTTTGCCCCGTGTTGTACCGACACCCCCTGTAGGTACAAGATCCTGGCGCCCGCAGCGGTCGACAAAGCGAAGGAGCCCAAGCAAGCGGCCGCGGCCGTCCTGGAGTCCACCGGCCTCGACCCCGATATGTACCGTCTTGGACACACCAAGGCACGTTTTCCCCGACATGTTCGCGATGTCCTGAGCTGATTTTTCGCCGATCACCGCAACGAACGCGGCTTCAACAGCGCTCGAGGACGCTCGACGACGGTCTACACTGTGTTTGTTTGGCGATTCGCCTCGTTTTAGATCCTTCTCCCGCGCGAAAGAGAGACAAACAAGACGGATGACTTTTTCCTCGACGACACAGTGTTGACCGTGCACGAGCCGTCGTCGTGTCGCTACTGATTGTAAATAGGCTATCATCGTCGATGACGTTTCTAACCCGTGATACATCAATGCCCCTAGCGACTGGGTGATAGACACGAAGCGGATCTTAAAGCGCAAGTGTTTCGGGAGGATCACTGACGAGTCGCACGATCTTCATGAAAGATAATTATTCACGCGCGATGAGTATCTCGTCGTGCTTTCCACTTGTGTCTCAGCTCGATCCTCCGCGTTTGTCCCGCAGCGAAACGTCCCTTCTCTCGAAAGACTTGCGCTTTAAACAATCGCACGAGATCAACAAGACCGTGAGGATCTCCCTAATTCAAGTATCCTCGAGGGATACCGTGTTCATGATCCCCCACCTCGCCCAAACAGGCGAACATTCTCGATTCTACAGCAACGAGAAGCGTAGTAATTAGCCTCTAGTAATTAGCGTAGTAGTAAGCCTCTAACCTAGTGTGATGAATTTTCTGTCTGTTTTGAACATCTACCCAACACCGTCCAAATATCAATACCACATGCATATACACACGATACCGCACGAAAATACCGACGCGGCCCAAATGCAGATACAAAATTCTGTGCGCCCATGCTGTGAAAGAGCCTTGCGAGCCGCAAAAAGCCACCCAGATCATCCTGGAGACGATCAATCTGGAGAGTGATCAGTACCGCATGGGTCACACCAAGGTATATGTGGTCCACGTCGTGCAGCGTCACGGCGCAACACGCTCACTTACCCCCCGAGACGACCAAACGTCGTGAGGATTTGGAGGGGACGTCGCGAGAATATTCGTGAGAATGCTCGCGACATCCTGCCGGAAGTCCTTCGGACTCTTGCGTCGTCCGGTTCTTTCGTATCGCTGACGTTTACTCGCCAACGTTAAGCCACAATGTTGAAAATATGTAGGAAAGTGTTTTCCTTCCGACATGGCAGCCTGATATTCTCTTTCTCTGTGTATTTATATCCTTTGGACGTTGGCCATTAAACGTCGTCGAAGAGTGTCAACTTAACAGAGCACAGCTTCGGCTATTAACCATTTTTCCAGCCTCGTTCGCGTCTCATCTCGGCGGAATTAACTCCGGCTATCGCGTTAACAAAGGATACCCTTGCCAAGCGTACCTTCGGCGTGCTGTAATGTGTGCTGTAATGTGTGTCGAGCAGCGTGAGGCAACTTCCGTCTAACTCTCGTCGAATAACGACCCACTTTCCGAAAGCTAAAAACGGCATGGGAGGCCAGTTTTTGTGGAAAGTAATCTCGACATGAGGTGTTCGCGATTATCCACCAGAGACTACGCGAATTAAGCGCGAAAGAATTCTCTTCTCGTTCAGTTATCTATGCACATGTGTTTATAGAATCATCTGCGTCATCACAAACGCTATACACGGAAGAAACGTTTGGTTGGTGTAACGATCCAATGCAAATGGATGGCATGCATATTCCATGCACATGGAATAAGAAAACAATTTCTTACCAGATGCAAATCGATTGTGGCGATTCACTTGGGAAATATATTTGTCAAGCGCATCGTCAGCAGATTCTTCTGTAGTTCGACGCTTTGAAGAAATATAAAAGACAAGCAAAGTATTCGACGAGCACCTTGCAGCCTGATTGCTCGGGATGGAAATATGTTTCTTGCTCCGTTTCATTTTTAGCAAATTGACAGATTGCGATTGTTAATTTCTGACGGAATTTCTGGCGAAACGTGAACGAGCCAGAAAATTCCGACTGAAGTTATCAAGACTCTGTTCAAGTTAACCAAAAATCTTGTCCCAACCAAACTTTTTCTGCTCTGTGGTCTTTCACCTCTCTTGTTCATTTGAACTGTCGCTTGAGTTATTAACTTCATCGTCCCGGTGGATAAACGAGATACATTTGTGACGAAACGTCACAGGGAACAGCTCTCTTTAATGTTCCGTTTGCTCTTCGTTCCTCGGGAAATATAGGTATTCTTCCGCGCCGGAGTCTTGGGTCAGATGGAGGAGCTTCGCGATGAGCGTCTCAGCAAGATCGTGTCCTGGATGCAGGCGTACATCAGGGGTTACTTGACCCGTAAGGATTACCAGAAGCTCCAGGAGCAACGTCTGGCCCTCCAAGTCGTCCAGAGGAACTTGAGGAAGTACCTCCAACTTCGCACCTGGCCGTGGTGGAAACTGTGGCAGAAGATCAAGCCTCTCCTCAACGTCACTCGCATCGAGGACGAGATGGCTGTAAGTGTCTTTTTGAGATTGTTTCTTCCTAGGGATTTATTAATACTTTTATTATTTTCATTATCTTCATTTGGGAAAGATCACACTTTTAGAGTTACAGAGGTGTGACAATTATTCTAATAATTTTCATATCTCTCTTTGTACATTATTGACTTCATAAAATCAATGCGGATGATAAAATAGAATGGATAAGAAAACAATTTCTTGCCAGATACAAAATCGATTGTGGCGATTTATTTAAAAAATATATTTATCAAGCGCATCGCCAGCAGATTTGATTCTTTTATAATTTAACGTTTTGAAGGAATATGAAGAATAAGCAAGGTACTCGATCAGCACCTTGATTGTCCGGGATAAAAATATTATTCTTGTCTCGTTTTATCTTAGCGGATTATTGCGATTGTTAACATTGCACTACCTCGCTCGAAGAAGCGATATTCTACCGTTCGTGTTGCGTGAACGAAATGTCCGTTCTGCGAAAGCGAGAAGCTCGAAACGACGCCGTGCTCTTGATAAAATAAAGCTCCGACTTGGCGCTGATTTACGGGCGTTCGTGCTTAACCACGCGAATTCGCTGTGGAATTTGTTTCTTCTTTTGCTGGACCGTGACGGTTCCAGCTTCCAGACGTGCGCGTTTATTTATCCGCCGCCTGGTCTTCTCATTTTCGCGGCTCGCCCTCGAGCAAGCTCGACCAGCTTGCAAGCCGTTTTCCCCGGAATCGAGCTTTTTCTACGCGCTTCCTTCATACTTCTGTAATACTTTTATGAATCTGAATTTTGCAAAATTTATTTGCACTTGTCTCTCTCTCTCTCTCTCTCTCTCTCTCTCTCTCTTTCTCTCTCTTTGATTTATTTCTCAACTGGCAGCTTGAACACTTCTACGAAGACGTTTCCTCTTTTCAAAAAGAAGAAAGGGGAATGTTCTTTGATGAATAGGTTGGGTTGATCCTCTAACGAAAATATCCGTCTCGACTATTTTTGCACATTTTCCGTCGAAATCGGTGTGGAAATTTCCTCTCAGCTTTCAATCTCGGACGATCCCGAAAGAAATCTTGGTCGACCTTCTAATTTCGTCCATCTTTTACCCCCCTCCGTCGTCAATCGTCTATATTTTCGACTCTATAACCCCGAATTAACGAGGATCGGGGGAATCCGTGCACGTTCTCTCGTCCAGTTCACTGATACCCGTCTCCCGATTTAGAAGCATAATAAAGGCTGAACGGTGAATCAACGTTCGATCATGTTACCAAAGGCTTCTTATAATAGACCGCGCTTTTCTGGCGTGACCGCCGCAATTATTCATTTTTCGGAGACGTCCCCAAGTGACAGCCGCTGTACTTTCCGAAATGTCGCTTCCGCTTTCAATTTCTAACGTGCACGCATCGTCGGCGGCTGCTGAAAGCAGCCTAATGGAAGATGTAGCATCTACTTCGAACTTGACTTTACTTTCGTAGAACTCTGTTAGTTTCTCATTATTTGTTCAGCCTCGCTGAGAGACACGCGGCTCCGCCGTGTGCATATTGAAGCATATTGAGACGAAACTGCACCTCCATCCGGTGGTGGTCTCCTCAACGACGAGTCTAGCCTGGCGAGCGATTTCTCCGGCGATCCACTTATCCACTTTGCACCTTCTGGAGCCAAAAAGGGGTCGGCCGCTGGAGAACGGTCCTTCCGGATCGCTTCTAATTCCGTCCAACCGGCCCCTCTTCGAGCATAATCACCCCCTTCCACTCGTACCTCAGCCAGCCCTCCTCTGGATGTATAGCGGATCGGTTATAAATATTTTTACATACGACGAAGGTACCGACTGGAGTGGGAACGCCCACGATCAGGATTGCAGCTCCTTACTGGCTGCCGGAAACGGCGCGAAGAGGGACACGGCGGGTAGAAAAGTTGGGTTACGCCGTGAGCCGGGACCAGTTGGACTCGCGACCTCGCGCCGACCCCTTCGAAACCCGCGACCACGACGAACAAAGAGAGGGTAGCCTCGCCCACACGTGCACCACTTCTACGCGCGTACACACACACACACATACAGACACACATACACACACATACGTACGTACGAGTAAACGTCGGTGCTCGAATTTAATCGACAGCTCGGGACGCAAGAGAGACTCGGCTTCGTCGAGTCTCGTTCGCTGTATTTCTTGGTCTTCGAGCGAGATCAGTCGGATCTCCTGACCGCGAGGCTCCTCGCGACGTTCGTTCGTTCGATCGATCGATAGATCCTCCTCCCGGGGGATCCTCGGCGACGATCCTTGGCCCCTCTAGCGAAAAGCACGAAGCGAATCGGAACGATCCAGCGAGGGTAGATACCTTCTTTGAGGACAGTAGTGCGTTCGCGTGTGTTTTGGAACTCTTCTCGGCTAGTATAATTGTATCATGGGCGACACGGTGCTGGTTGAGAACCCGAACCCGCTGGTGAACGGCGGCAAGCTCGAGGGTGAAATGTCGTCGTTGCAGGCGTTGGAAGAGAAGGCCAGGAAGGCGCAGGAGGCCTTCGAAAAGGAGGAGAAACTGCGCAAGGAACTGGAGGAAATGAACTCCAAGCTCCTCAGCGAAAAGACCAACCTGCTGCGCCAGCTGGAGGGTGAGAAAGGCTCGCTCTCCGATTACCAGGAGAAGTCCCTCAAGTTGGCCGCTCAAAAGGCCGATCTCGAGTCACAGCTCCAGGTAAGATCTCATCATTTATACCGGTTTCCTTTCAATAAGAGCAATTGCTGATTAGTGCCTTCAGTTATCGCGAATTGGAATATTCGTTCTATCAAAAAAATTTATTCGCACAAGGTTAAAGACTTAAAAACGTTAAAAAACTTTCAAGAACGTATCTTATTAGATAACGTTTTAAAAGAAGATTCATAGCGATTTCACTTCGCCCCTGCCTGGAATCTGCAGAAACGTTATTATTTTATATCGCGACTATTAAAGATATAAGTTTATTACACGCGATGTCAAATCGCGGAACGCAGCGAAGAGCCGAAAACGCGAAAATGACTCGCCGACAAAAAAGCAGAGACGATGATTGCCGCAGATAACCTTTTATGAGATGGTTCTCGTGCGATTACTGCGAGTGACGCAACATGTGAGTCAATCAACTCCGAAGGGCAAAAAGTAATATAATTAGCGGCGTAATTAGCACAGTGGCGCAAGCCGCGAGGTAATCAATAGCATAATTAGCATCGCCGAGAGCGAGAAAACTATAATCTGCCGCCGATGAAACGTTTGTCAATCAGTTGGTTAAACGACGAACTTTGTTAATTCGTTAGAGAGTTGGAGAATAATCACATTAGATAAGATAAACTCGGGTATGATGACCATAGGCTGCAATTTCTCCAATAATTGCTAAAATAGTGCGCTTTTCTAATCACTCTCAAAGATAATCGATATTTACAGTAGTTTATGTACGTACAGTCAGTAAGACGTACTATTCAACAATTATCAGAGAAAGTGCAGCTTACGGCCATCTTTCCCATATGATCGCCATAGTCGGATTTACTCTAAGCCCGATCAGGAGCAAGAATCATACGTATAAAAGCGATATCATCGCCGTATAAGTATTCGTACACGGAAAATGATATAACGGCAGATTATAACATAACTGTGGTATATGAGTCGTACATTGACTGAGAGAAAATCTTAATCTTTCGCGTGAAGCAAATTTAATCGTCATTGCGCAACGGCTAAATTAATTTCGAGCCAGGTCCGACGACGAACGCCTCACAAATAAATATCATCTTGCTCTTCCGGCTCGGATATGTTAAATAGTAAGAAGCTAAATCGCGCCGCGAATCGCTCGCGGATTTTCCTCGGATTTTTCCGAGACGCGGGCAAAAGTCTTCCGGGCAAAAGCGGAGCGCGGTTTAAATCGAGATGCCATTAATCGTCGTGGGAGGGAAGCGACTCCAGACGTTCTCGTGATTTAAATCGGCCGTAAATCAGTTCTCGAATTACGCGCGGCGACGGCGACGGCGACGACGGAGCTGATGCCGCCGCGGTGGTTTCGCAAGCGCGACAAAGTAGCGGAGGCGCGGAATTAGTCAGACGCGCTATTTTTCTTCGCGAGCGCGAATCATTCGTGTTGCTCGCACGCTCGGACGCTTATTCGGGCGTTTCGCGGCTAAAATTACGTCACCACCACCCCGTGTGAGCACGTTATGCGACTTTATATGTTTGCGCGACGCCCCTCGAGATCCGAATCGTCGCCCACGGACATTCCGAAGGCTCGACGAGAAGGCGCCCTCGATATCTTCAGCGCTCACCCAGGATGATATGATTCACAGGGAACGACGAATCGCTGCGATTCGCATTCCTGGAGGATATTTTTAAAGGCTCCTCATCAAAGAGTTGTGAAAATTGGCCGAACGACACTCGCCGACGTGCTCGACTGCACGTCGCGAAACACGAGACCCGATATTTTTATCCGGTTATCCGCACGAAACGCAAAAGAACGCTGGAGCAGAGCGCAGCATAACGGTCATAACTTCTCCACGGGCGTCCTCGCGGAAAATAGACGAGTCGTGGTCGCGACTAGAATTCCAGTACGCTGGTCGATTCTCTCTCTCTCTCTCTCTCTCTCTCTCTCTCTCTCTCTCTCTCTCT